ATGGGAACCAGAGTAGGGGGCAAAGGGAAAGGGTGGGAGCCAGTGGGGGGTAAAGGGGGGCAAAGACTAAAGAAGCCCAGGTCCCTCAGCCTGTCCCCATGCGTGGGGGCGGTGGGAACAAGGAGGCCAAGTGTCTGCTCAGCAGTCGCTGGATGTGGAGGGGGCTGTCGGCAGCAGCTGGAAGGTTTCTGACCGCACCTGGGTTGAAGCTGACTGGGTTTCCTGCTTGCAGCGGTCTGCGATGCTGCCTGTATCTTCCTTTCCGTTGCCCCCCGCCCCACCAGGAGATTTGCTGGTGAATTTTCCCCTCGGTAACCCAGCGTTGTTTGTGGCTCTCTCAGGCAGCGTTGTGCACAACCAGTCCCACTGCCCTGTCACCAACCGGCTGCGATGGAACCTGACAGCCGAGCAAATTGAGAACATGACCGTGGAGCTCGTGGAAAGGACCAAGCAGGTGTACGACCACGTGGGCGCACAGGAGCAGGGCGAGGTCTCCTATGAGAACACCCTCAAGGCTCTGGCTGACGTGGAGGTGGAGTATACGGGTATGTGGAAGCACAGGACACAGTTGAATCTCAGCAGCTCTTGTGAGGAGCTGGATGTCAATTCAGGTCTTTGGTCTGTGGAATCGTCTCTTCCCTTCGTTAACCGCTGCAGCCTGTCTCTGCATTTCCTCTCATTAGCCTTTGTATCTGGGGGCTCTAACTAGGGGGAGCGGGATGAGACAGTCTCCCATGTTTCCTAGACAGCCATGAAAAGCTTCCTGGCAGCCAAACCTCTTTGCCACTAGGATAAAAGACCCTTTCCATCCCCAGCTCCTACGAGCTGACACCTGGCCACATGGCTATCTGAGCCCCTTTTTCTATTTTAACCTACATATTTGTTTTTAGGAGCTAGGGCTCGTGTGGCATGGAATCATTGCACCAGGCTTATGAATGCAGCTGATGTCAGCAAAATGCCTGCTCAATCTCAGCCTGTCAGGGTAGATAAACCACACAGACTTTGCCTTCCCTTTGTAGGATGTTAAATGCTGAGCAGTTGTCTAGACAGGTTGGCAAATTGGGCAGATCGGAACCAGATGAAGTTCAACATTGAGCAGTGTAAAGTGCTCTACCTGGGGATGAACAGTCCCCAACTTACAGGCTCGGTGGTGCCAAACTGGCCAGCACCATGAACGAAAGGGACATAGGGATAATAACAGGCCACAGCATGACCATGAGCTGTAGCCAGCAGGGCTAACAATACCCTGGCATGCATCAACAGATGCATCTCCAGTAAAACCAAGGAACTGATTCTCCTGCTCTGCTCGGCATTGGTGAGGCCGCAGCTGGAGGACTGCATCCAGTTCTGGGCACTGCACTTCAACAAAGATGTGCAAAAGCTTGATAGAGTCCAGAGAAGGGCCCACCCGTATGATCAGGGACTTTTGTACAGCAAGCCATATGAGGAAGAGCTGAGGGACTTGGGTCTCTTCAGCCTAAAAAAGAGAAGGCTGAGAGAGGACTTGGTAGCAGCTGACTGCCACATCAGGGGAGTACATCAAGGGCTCGACGAACAACTGTTCACCAGGGCACCCTTGGGGAAAACCAGGCGTAATGGCCACAAACTCTTGGAAGACCGTTTCAGGCACAAGATTAGGAAAAACTTCTTCACAGTCAGGGTGTCCAGACTGTGGAATAAGCTCCCTCCAGAGGTGGTGCGGTCACCTACCCTGGAAATCTTTAAGAGGAGACTGGACGGTCACCTCGCTGGGGTCACCTGCCCCAGTTGTCTTTTCTGCCTAGTGCAGGTGGGCTGGACCTGATGATCTTGCGAGGTCCCTTCCAGCCTTAAAATCTATGAATCTGTGAATTTCCACAGAGCCTGAAGGTTGTGTGATACATTCCAGACCAGTAAGACAGCAAGAATCCTGCCCCAAGGAACTTGCACCACTCCCAGTAGATCATTGTAGAGACTGGGGACAGAGCAGGGCGTGGGGGAGGGAGGTCCTGTCAGGTCAGAAGTGAGGCAGGTCAGTGGGATCACTTGCCTTCTACTTGGCTCGTTTGTCAGCCTGTGGGGCTGTCAGTTTTCATTGCCTCCACAAAGCATCCCTTGCCTGTGTGGTATTGGGATGAGGCCAGCTGCCCTGCCACAGCTTCAGCGCCTGGCTCTGTCATTCCAGTTCACCGAAACATGCTGGACTTCCCCCAGCACGTCTCCCCTTGCAAAGACATCCGTACGGCGAGCACAGAGGCTGACAAGAAGCTCTCAGAGTTCGACGTGGAGATGAGCATGAGGCAGGATGTATACCAGCGAATCGTCTGGCTCCAGGTTTGTGGCATGGGGGTGACACGTGCCCAGGGCAAGAGGGGCTCGGTGTCTGATTAGGAAGTCTGCAGAGTGCTTCTGGGAGGACCAGGGTGCCAGTGAGTCCCTTCTGTGTACCAGGGGACTCTGTTAAGTCCCGTTTAATGCTCAGTTGCCCCATGAGGGTAACAGGATCAAGTTGTTATTGTGAAGGACAGAGGGTTCAGTTCTAGGCCCTGTTGTCAGCTCTGACTTCTTCTGTGGCTCTGAAATGGTAGGTGCTCACGCTCTCTGCCTCATTTTCCACATCTGCACAGTAAGGGGAGTGATGCTGACCAGCTTCTTCTGAAGGCTGGGGGTGGGTTTAAATCTGCAAAGTGCCTTGAAGGTCCTCTGATGAAAACAAAGATTGCATCTGAATTGACCTGTCAGTAACTACGCTCTCATGTCTCATCCTTTTAGCAGGAGATGTCTGCCTTGTTTGGGGTCAGCAGTCGTTATGACAGTATGTAGGCCTTGTCCAGTCGGCTCCCTGGCTGTGGGCAAGCCAGTGCTGGTTCCAGGGCACTGCTGCCTCCTTTCCTAGTGCCCCTAGCTGTTTGTTTTACAGGAGAAAGTGGAAAGTGCATCCCTGAGGCCTGAAGCCCAGAGATACCTGGAGAGGCTGATTAAGTTGGGCAAGAGAAATGGCTTGCACCTCCCTGAAGACACGCAGGAGGTGAGATGGCTGGAACTAAAGCCGTCTGGGCCCATCCATGGGGCTAAAGATCAGGGTCTAGTGGTTAGACCAGAGCATAGGCAACCTGTATCCCTGACTCCATCACCAGTTCACTGAGTAACCTTGGGGGATTTGCCCCAGGTTTCCCTTCCTGTACTTCTCCAAGGGTCTGGACGGGTCCTGGGGTGAGAAGTCCTAATCAGCAGCATTGGCAGGAAAGCAGCTCCCAACTGGGAGTGACAGTAACCTAAGGCCTGCAGGCAGGGGCTGGTGCTGGGATATGGCGCACAGGCTTGGCTTGGGTTTCCTGAGCTGGTGAGGGCAGCCCTCTCAGTCGGGGACTGAGCAGCAGCTGCCTGGGACTGAGCGGCAGCTGGCTGGGCCGAGCGGCAGAGGGCACGAGGTGGGTTAAAAATAGAAATGAGGGAGAAAGAAGAGAAGCTTGAGGCTGGATGTGCCTTGGTCACCTGCAGCTGCTCTAGCCAGCCAACAGCAGGTGTGCCGGGGGTGGTGGACTCGAGCCAGACTGAGGCTGAGGGCTCTGCGTACAGCCAGCACTCTGCCATCCTGCTTGGAGAAATACCCACAGCAAACATGGGGGAGCTGGGGGTGCAAAACTGCCAGCCCAGCTGGAGGTATCGCTTGGCCTCCCCTGCCTGACATGCTTATCTCCACTTGCTTCTTTTGCAAAGAAAATCAAAACCATTAAGAAGAAGCTGAGCCTGCTCTGCATTGACTTCAATAAGAACCTCAACGAGGACACCACCTTCCTGCCTTTCTCCAAGGAGGAGCTTGGTACTTACAGGGACAGGGTTGTGGTGGGGCGGTTGTGCTTCCCCCAGCCTAGGGCTTGCCGTGGCATGTGCATCACTCAAAGAGGGGGCTGGGCTGCAGCCCCTGCTTGGAGCTTCCTTTCCAGCAGCCACTTCCCGCTGCAGTCTGCAGGCAGAATTAACTGGCAGCCCAGCCTCGGCTTGCTGTGGTCCAGGAAGAGCTGTGCAGTGGCTGCCATGTAAGCCTATCCTAGGGGCCTCTTATACCTGCCTGCAGTCTTTGAGCAGCTGGTTTGTGCCAGGGAAGGAGCAGAGTGCTGTGGCAGGCAGTGTTTGGGTGGTGCCTGGGTGACAGCTTCTAGCAGTCAGCTGCATTTTTCTGTCCTCTTCTCCCCAGCGGGGCTGCCTGAGGACTTCCTGAACTCC